CTGGAGATCCCCTCTTGTCTAATCTGACAAGGAGCATGTACCACAATAGGTCAGCCGAAGAAAACTAACTGCAGCAATGGAGATTTCGAGGGGTGCAGACGGTCGCTGAGCCAGACGTGGGGCAGTATGTGAGAACATGCAGTAAGACCAGTCAAGATCCCCTTGAAAGGAATGCCTTTTACTAGCCGTATATCCCCCAAATTCAGCACAACAAAGAAATGCATTGACGGCAACAGATTTGGGCCCTAAAGGTCCTCGCCCGTTGGGCCTGGTCCCACTGAGTCCCGAAGGTCCCAAGTAGGTCGTGGGCCAGGACCAACTAGATAGGTGTACCAAGTCAGTCCCAAACTGCCTCTACCGTACTGAAAAGGAAAAGACAACTTTCAGCAAGAACTCACCCCTACAGCCGTTCAGAAATGAAAAAACAATGCACCGTAGAAAGATATGTCATTGAGAACAAGATACATCATCCATCCATCCATCAGGTGAGAAAGCAATCCACATGCTCACACACACAACCAAGACCGCAGAGAAGAGGAAGAGAGCCCAGCACACCCCAACAGGCCATGAAGCACCAAGCAACCTCCCACGGCCATAACCAGGTCACACGGCATTTACCTGTGAGGCGCGGCCTCCAAAGATGGATAACGACTCACCCCCCTCTCTCATAAGTCCTCCTGACCCCTAGTTACCACTACACGAAGTGTCCTAGCATGATTAAGAGGGCCTCCCTACACCCCTGTTACAACGTCGGATCCCCCATCGATGTCTGAAGACCAAAGTAGCAACTTGCAGCTCTTCGATGCAGATATGGCAGCCTCCGATCAAGTCTCCCTCTTGAGGGGAAGCCCAAAAGTCACTCAATGTCTTCTTGAAGTGCAGATTCCAAGTGTGAGTACCTCTCACTCTCTATTCCCTCTCGCTTACTCCTATCAGCCTCCTTTGTGTCTCGCCACCCCATCCAATCACACAAGCAACCTGGTCAGGTCTGATGTCGACCCTACATGACCTAACCAGGTGGGGACAGTATCCACATACCTCACTGCCCCTCTTAACCCTAACTTCCCAACCCTAATCCGAGATGAGGTTAGCCCTAACCTAATTCGGAATTAGGTTTAGGGTGACTAACACCTCTCGCCAGCAAGTAAGTCCGCCCCGATACCAATTGTTACGATCGTGGTCATTCCCAAAGTGCAAATTCACAATGAAAGACAATGCCACCCAATTGCGAAAGAAATGAAAGCACTTGCAAAGAGATAGAGGCCAGAGAAGAGAGAAAGAAGAAGAAGAAGAAGAAGAAGAAGAAGAAGAAGAAGTAGATGTACACCAGCAAGACCAATGACAAATCCCCCTTCTCTCTCCACCTTCCTTCTCCTCCTTAACTTCTCCAATCTTATTCTTCTTCCCAATAATAATAATAACAATGA